TGATTTATAGGTTAAGTGTCATATCAGATATTTAATGTAATTTAAATCAGAAACAATTAAGAATGTTACATTAACTCTGAGCAACAGTGGTTCGATGCCCGGCCCAAACTAGGCTGCTGCTGAGCTGCCAACAGATGGCAGGATGGCTCAGCTAAAAAAAACCAAACAAACCAACAAAACAAAACAACACAAAAATGTTACATTAGCAAAAGTATAATGTAATATTAGAACAAAATAGTAACTTTAAATTTGAAATATAATGAGTATATTCAAAAAATGGTATCTGATAAATATATTTAAGAATTTAATATATGACAAAAAGTACTGTGTCACTGACTACCAATTTGGAAGAAAAAATTACTTATCCTTGCTTCACGCTAACATTAATGTATTCCATACAGTTTAAATAGTTTTATATTAAAAAGCATTGTCTTAGTTTGACTGCTATAACAAAATGCCATAGCGTGGGTAGCTGAAACAGTAAGACATTTATATCGCACAGTTCTGGAGGTTGGGAGTCCAAGATCAAGGTGCCCGCAGATTCAGGTCTTGGTGAGGGCCCTTGTCTTGGCTTGCAGATACATACCTTCCTGCTATGTCCTCAGATATCTTGAGGGGAAGATCTGGTGTCTCTTCTTATAAGGCACTAATTCTATCATGATTGCTCCACCCTCATGACTTCATCTAAACCTAACTACCTCCCAAAGGCCCATCTCCAAACACCATCACATTGGGTATTAGTGTTTTAACATGAATTTGGTGGGTGGACGGGAGGGACACAATTCAGTCCATAACAAGCATGAATCATTAAAATTAGCGGAAAAAGAATATTAAACATTTATTAAATGTTCAGAAAGGGCATACTGCTTACAAGTATTATCAGTCATCAAAGAGTGATACACTTGACTTCAAAATATTTTAACAATTTGCATTCAAATTAATTCCGTTTATATTTATAGCGTGTTCCCTCAGTGACAGGCAATGTGCCAATGTTGGGGACACAGCTGTGAGTAGGGGAAACATCACATGCCCGGTGCTTTGTGGGGGAGAAAAGTTGGGAGTAGGGTCACTGAGGTGTCTGGGATAGCTTCCTGAAGTGACTTCTATGAGGTTTCCTGGAGAAAGATTAGTTAGATAATCAGGTGTAGGTCAAAATTGCAGATGGACTGAGGAATTTCAGAGAGAAGAGAGAGCAATGCCTGGCAAAGCTTTGAAGTAGGAAGTATAATAGGCTTTTAATGAGACTATTCTCCTTGCCTTAACATTTTGCCTAAAAATCCTGAGAACCCACATACAAGTATATATTAAAGACAAACATGCTTGCAGGACTGGTTGGAAAACAGTTGAAGTGGTGTCATCTCCAGCTTAGATTGCTAGAAATTTGAAAGTTTCTTGAAGAGGATTTGTAGAAAGAGAAATTACTTTGGCTTTTCATTCTCTCTAAAGCCAAAGCATGGAGAGGTACTGAGAAAAGTACCAGAGGTTGGGAATGTTGGATGAGTTATACTCATATATATTCACATAGTGAACAAAATTTATTCACTAAATGAACAATGAAGGATGCCCAAGATGGTGATAGATGATAAGAATGGATAAAATACAGCAGAGTTGAGAAGTATAAACTTCAGAGAGACTGGAGTTTCTGAAAGGTACCATTGTTGGAAATTATGGGATGTTTCTTTCTTTTTCTTTTTTTTTTAGTTTCAGTTGTACAATAATTATCCTTTTCACCCCTCAAAAGAAACAACCCCCTCCCCCATCTACTGCACCCCCACCCCCGATATCATACTTATCTATTACAATTCCATTGACTCCATTCCCACACTCTACTTCACATCCTGTGATTATATGTGTATATAATTATAGTTGACATACATTATTATTCAACATCAGCTTCAGAAATACAGTGTGGTGGTCAGGCCTCTATACTGTCTATGAAGTGGTCTCCCTAACAAGACATGAGTCCATCTGGCCCCCTAAAAGATATTTACAACGTTATTGATTATATTCCCCAGACTGTCTTTTCTACCACTGAGGCCATATTGTAGTTACCAATTTATATTGTCTCGTCCCTTCCCCTTCTCCTTCATCCCCACCCCCTCCCAACTAGCAATGCTCAATTTTTCCTTTGTGTCTCTGAGACTATTTCTGTTTACATTTCTCATTTATTCAGTTTTCTAGATTCCACATATAAGTGAGATCATGGTATCTGTCTTTCTTTGACTGACTTATTTCAATTGACATAATGTTTCTTACTCTTGAGAAACTGTAGTGAAAGAAGAGCCATCTCAGGAGAACATTCCAAGGGGTTCCAAATAATTCATTCCAACAGTTCCCAAGTGAATGGTGGGGATGGGGGGAGAAAGGAGAGAAAGAGGACAGTGAAGGGAAGGAGCCAGGGTAGAAAAAAGGCCACTCTGGATTGATTGGGCTTTTAAAGAGGACTTCTTCCAGGTGAACATGAACACGGAGTTACTAAGTCCCTCCCACAGGTGAGGGGTGGCAGCAGTCTGGGGCTGATGGGTGATAGTGACAAGCCTGTAAGAGGCCATGCAGGTTAGCATGAGGAACAGGTATATCCCAGTAGATTAAGTATAACTCTAACTAGGCAAAGGGTCCAAAAAGGTAATTGAAGGAAAACAAACATGATAATAAAAATAAGCAAACATGTTCATCATCATCATCACAGAAAGCAAGTTAAAATCAAAGCAAACTACAAAATTAATTTTCTTTGCCTGCCAAATACCAAATATTTAAAACTATACAGAGAATGCCACAAAAATGTATACAAATTTTAAGAAAGGAAAAAACTGTATTAATTGTAATACACAATATATACCAATAACAAAAGATGAATACAAGTCACGTTTGACTTCTGCAGTTACAAGAGATGCTCAAAGTGGTTACCATCAGCATCCAGACACTTCTGATTATGGCGAACTGCTTGAGTATAGATAACATCTCTTAAAATGTGTATACATTTTTTGTCACCCTGGTATTCCTACCAGTGACAGCAATGGTGAGAAACTGCTTGAAGTTCTCAGTCACTACTGGTACAAATACCAAATTCTAAGAAGACAATAATCTATTGACAATATACATGAAGACTTTAAAAATGTTATTAATTTTTTAATTCTACTTCTGAGAGTGAAGCAGATATTAAAAACCACGAGTTAAGAATGTAGATGCTGGAGTTAAACTGTCTGGGTTCAAGCCACAGTTTTGTCACTTCTTACCTATGTGGACTTAAACAAGTCATTAAGGTTCCTTGTATCTCAGTGTCCTTATCTGTAAAATGTGATTAATTATGGCACCTACCTTGTTAGGGTGTTAGAAGGATTATTATATGTAAAGTAGTTAAAATAATGTCTGGCAAGTGGAGCACCTTATAAGACAATGTTACTATTATTTTAGATCCACAACTGCTAATCTAAAATTTCAGAGTTTCAAAATTCAGACTTTTTTAGATTTTAGGAAGTATGGACTATATAGGTTATATTATATATGCTTCCCAGTATGTTCTGGGGCAGGACCCTGTAATCAAACCCATTAATATTTCTAATGTGAATTTTAAGAGTTTTGATATTGTGTCATAAATGATGATGATAAGTGATCTCATATCAGGGCAGATCAGATTCAGGTTTTCCTGCCAGTTGAGACACAGGAAAATCCTATCTTCAAGAGATTTTTTTGGTGTTTGTTGTAGACAAAAGATATTATAGATTTGTATCCCATAAAACTAAAATATTAAAATTGAAAATTTTATTTTAAATGTATGTTATTGCATTATTTAATAAAGAAAATGTTTGTAATCTATTAAACCTTAAACTGCTTATGTTATATCATCATATAAACAGGACACAGAATTGTGTTATATATCTAGAAAAGTAACCATGTAAAAACAGTCTATAGGAAAATATCCCACATTATTAGCAATGACTGTGATGATGTGGTGGAATTATGGTTAAACATTTTTATTTTATACTTTTTGCAGATTTTTAATGAAGATAATTTTATAGTGAAAAACTATTTTTTTATTAAATTGACTTTAGTACAGTCATAATCTGTAGATTTAACTATAAGCAATTTGAAAAAGTTTCCTTTTTTGTTAGTTATCTTTTTATGGTGGTAAATGTCAGTATAGATCAATCCTTCATGATAAAGAGGTAGACAGAGAAATTTCTTTAAATATTGTTTTAATTTGTCTCAATACCTGAACTTCACTGGCTAATTTCAGCCTCAGTCAATCTATCTCCTAAAACTTGGTGTAAGTAAATGTAAACCAAGTTTATAAAAAATAGTATCTTATTTTTACTTACATTTAAGTGTTAAATTTGATATATTTGCTATTATGCTATGCACAGCATCAAGATGTATCAAAACACCCCTCAAATATGAAAGTGTTCAGAAGTAGCAAGGACTTTGAAAAGCAGATTGACATGGTTTAAGCCCCAGCTCTCCTAATTTCTTGTTATCAACTTTGGTAAATTGCTAATCCTCTGAATCTCAATTTCCTTCCTTTAGAACAGAAATAATAACATCTCATTTGAGGATTAAGTGAGATAATTTCCATAAAGCACCAATCCAGTGCTTTACATTGTTTGCTCAATAAATGGGCATTCTTTCTGTCTTCCTTCCTAAGTTTTAACTAAGAACAGAAAAAAATGAAGGAAGAAACAAATTAACTAGTCTTTATTGGGCACTGCTAAAAATACTTAACTTGTATTAAATTAATTATTTTTTTCCACAGTCCCCTGCAGAGGGCCTACACAGCTTGTCTTAAAAGCAAGCAGTGCTCTGGCTGAGCAGTGATGCTAAGCTTGGTCATCTGACCCAGAGCCCGTGCTCTTACTGACGAGATTAGCCTGCCTCTGAAATATGAGTTAAAAGATAAGAGTGAGGCTGCAATCCATGAAGTTTAACATGTATAAGTAATATTGAGAAAGTAAATGTGAAGCTCTGTTAACAGATTTGCATTCCTTTTTTGTCCTGTATTTCAGCACATGGTGAAGGTGCTTTGGAGCACCGTCTGTGATTACAATTTACATCTTTTCCTGGGATACTCTCTTGAAAGGATCAGCAGACATCCAATTTACTCAGATATAATCCCAGATTAATGAAGTCGTTGAAGAGCAGATTACGCTTGTCTCACTAAGACTGGGTAAGAGTTTTAAAATACACTTACTGTTTTGTGAGTGGTATTTGATGTCGTGACCTGTTCTGAAATATTTCTACCTTTCTTAAATTGGAAAGTTATATTAACTAAGTAGACACATGGTGGAGGGCAAAAAAAAAAAATAGGTTATTATCAAATGGTACATTGATTGATATGTTTTTTATTAGCTAAGCATATGCTGATGTATTTGAATATGTTTTTTATTACTTATGTAAAGTAGAAGAGTTAACATTTAACACAAGAGGAATTCAATGACAAGCATTCTTCTCTTAAAATATAACTGCAAACAGTTTTATGAAACCTGTAATTGCTACAGTCTATGTTGTTTCTACTGCTATAAAACCAATAACTGTGAAATAGAAAGGGTATCTCTTTGAAACTGGTTTTGATGAAAATGTACCTATTACAATCAAGTTTATGTCAATGTTTCCCTAACTGTGAGCCTCTCTTACCTGTATTTCTAGTAAGTCTACATAAGCTTATTTCTGCATCTTTTCCTCAGTCAAAATTTTCTGTTCCAATATACTAAATTGCCAGTCATCCCAGTTGAGTTTAATTAACAGAGACTTGGAACTGGGGAAAGAGAGTGGTGTTGAAACAGATGGCAGAACAGGAGTAGTTACTGCAGGGAATACATGGATGGGGGAGATGAAGAAGATGAACAAAGGTGACTCCATCTCTTTGAAGTAGAGTCCGGCGACTGCCGTGAGGACATAAACTAAGAGATGAAAATAGGTGCTTTGGCTATGACATGGATTTGTTTTGGATAGATAGATGTTGAGAAAAAAAGTCACCCAAGGGTTTCCTTCTCAAGCATACAAGTTGTTCTGCATCTCAAATGCCTGAGTTTCAAGTTGAGTCAGTACCTGTTAGACATAAATAGACATAAATAAATATTTATGGCCTAGAACTCTTGGGATGAATATTCATCTACAATGTGTAACAACTTTACAAGTATTTTATGCACAATGCAGGGAAGGGCTATCCCAAAAGTTTGTAATGAGCAAAGCCTGATAAAGGGAAACAGGTTGAAGGTCTGTGAATGCTCTGGGTTAGAGCATGGTGGCTCAGAACATGGGTTTTGGGAAGAGATGGGCTCATCCGGTTTGAATCCTGACTCTGCCACTTTTTGGCCTGATTCCTGGGGCAGTAATGAAAATTAAATGAGCTAGTTTATAAAGAGTGCTTGGTATTGGACCTGGCACACAATCAATAAGTGTTCAATAAATGAGTGTTATTATGTTAAATGATTGTGCAGACAATTATAAGGGCTTTTGTAGGTTTTCCAATTCTTGATTTTAATACTATTTTCTCCATGAGGACTTTAATTTCTTGCCTATACTGTCCTACTATGTTGAATTTTCCTTAATCTCACCTAGCCAGCCATAGTTGGGAAGACGGTATTATATTTTTCAAGATTAAATTTTTGATTTTCAAATCTCATATGTATTATATTTCTGAAGGTCATTGATATTTAAAATTTTATGATCTCAAATCGCCATTTTCTAGCATCTTAAAATTGGGTAACTTTTTTATAAATATTCTCATCTTTGAAGTAAGAACAATAGACTTAGCTATCTATGAGCATTTTTGTGAAGTATAAATAATATAAGACACAGTATGTGACCCAGAACTACCCAATACATGTGAGCTATTACTAATATTATTACTGTTATTGTTGCAAATATTCTTCTTAAACAGGTTTGTATCTACTACTTCTGGTATGATTGCTGATGTCTGTCAGTATATATATATATATATATATATATATATATATATATATATATATATACTGTATATTTGTATTTACTATACTATACTTTTAATTGTTTTATTTTATTTTTAAAATTTTATTAAATTGATTGGGGTAACATTGATTTATAAAATTATATAGGCTTCAAGTGTACAATTCTCAGTCTTTAATTTGTAGAACTTGAAGCAAGATGTTTTACAAAATTTTTTAAAATAAAATATTAATATATGTAAAACCTCAGGCCACTTTTGAAAACATAATTTGACATCATTTTATACTTTCAAAATACAGTATATTTAGTTTAAACACAGATCTCATTTCATGATTTTACTAAATTATCTCCAAGGACTACTGCTTTTAAAACTCCCAAGCTTGATTCTTTCCAGGGGAAATTATATAACTGCCATTTTAAATTGCTTTGCATTTGGGTGATTCTTAGTATCAAAGTTTGGCTGTTTTACCCTTAACTTTTCACCCTTAACTTTAAACTGTTGACCTAACCTATTGAGTCTATAAAGTTATTAAATAAATACTGGGTAATCAGGATACCACCACTCTCTACTACCTGCCCTATCTAACCTTTCTAACTTTGTATGCGGTCTTGTATCCAGGGTTCTGAATACTTAAAATTTGGTTCCATAATCCAACTTTAATGCCTAACTCTGTTTCAGATTATATTCACCATAGTACACACCTGGGTTTGAGATAACCAGTGAATTTTTTTATTATTAAATTTATTGGGTTGACATTGGTTAGTAAAATTATATAGGTTTCAAGTGTACATGTGTATAATATGTCATTTATATATTGCATTGTTTGTTTACCACCCAGTTTCAGTTCTCCTTCTATCACCATATATTTGATCCCATTTACCCTCTTCTAACCATCCCCCCTATCCTTACACTCTGGTAACCACTGAACAGTTGTCTGTGTCTATGAGTTTTTGTTTCTTCATTTGTTTGTCTTGTTCCTTTGTTACTTTCAGTTTTAATGGAAATTTAAGGCCAAATTTAATTGCTTTGACCTGTCATTAAGTCAATCCCTAGTTATTTTTGGTATTACTGTGGTGTTCATTGATAACCCAATTAATTTTCTTGTTTCATTAATTTGGTATGTTGGAAAATCTGTAGAAAAAAAAAAACGTCCTTAGTACTTATGATATTTTTTACTTTCTAAAGTGTATAATGTATGATTAGTGCTTAGTCTATGTTCTTATTTAATCTTGTTTTACTATATGAGAACAGACACGTTTCCCCTTTTGCGCATTAATTATTTAGTTTCTTAAATATCCTCATTCTTAATGTACATGGATAATAGCAGTAATTCATAATTCTTGGTATGAATTGAAAGGAAAGAGCCTAGTATTTCATACTGCTCTGGAATTAACTACATTATATATGAAACATTTAAGTGTACCTAGCTTTTAAATAATATTGAAACTTCAATTGTTTCAAACATTTGAGAGATTCTTCTAAGAGAGTCATTTCATATGTAACCTCTTATTTAGGTTTACTTCTATAATATGATTTGAAGAAGATCATGGTCTATTGAATTGAATTTTCCTTTTATGTTCTTTATAAAAGCCTGTTTTATCTAAGAATAGAAAAATGTTTAATGTATTTCTTGGAAATTTTACTAAGAGAGATCTACTTAGTTGTATTCAAAATTCAACAGATGTAGGGATGATTGTAAGGCAAATAAAAATAAAGTGGGTACACAAATTCTTCCAGATTTTTATATTCAACCCAAAACTAAGTCTGTATGAGAGAAAGATCACTGGATGGAATGTCAAAAGACTATGTTGTAATTTAAGAGCAATCAGTTTTTTGGCCTTTTGAGATTTAATTTATTATTCCTAAAAACAAAAAAATAAAAAGCAAAAACAAAAACAGGAAAAAACACTTCACTGGGTTGTTGTGGGAATTAAATGAGATAATGTTTATGAAAGTGTGCTTTTGAACTTTAAGGCTCTATAAAAATGGTACATGTGAATGTTACTATTAACGTGTGTAACATAGATACTTTTATTATAACAGTTTTAAGAGTATAAATGTAAAAGTTTTAAAATCTTTTAATTATAGAATTCCAAAGTTAGGCATTTTCAGGGATTTGACATCCCACTCACTACTATCTATTATGTCAAAGCAAGTCTCCTTTCATTTAGCGGACAATGATTTGTGTTTCTTTCATTGACAGAACTGTACATTCAAAGTAAATGGTTAATATGACTAATTTTGGTGATTCTGATGAGGTCAAATAAAATTATGTATATTCTATAATACACATTGGAAACTGGAGCGAGCTCATAATTACACATGATCAGGAAAGAGAATTTATAAGAGGCACCAGTTTGTCCATATAAATTGTATTTCTTGACACCAGCAGATAGTTTTCAGGTGTTGATGAAAACTTGGTCCTGACTTAATAAGATAAATGACTCAGTTAGTAATTTATAGAGGTGGCGTCGAAACCCAGTTTTCTCTGAGTCCAAAGTCAGGGTTCTTTAGCATTTAACTATACCTTATAAAGAAATCAGTAATCTGTATTGTGTTAAAACACTATTTTGTCCCCATCAGATGGATATTTGGTCTCAGTGCTATTTAAATTGTAAAGTGCTTATAATACATTGTCTTGAAGGAAATTTTTAAAACATGAGCAAGGAAGATATTTTTGAAGCTCTGCTACCAATTTTAAGCTGTTCACATCTAATAAATGACCCTTTTAATGTCCTGAGCAGTTGGCCTATAAAATGATTCATTGATGACGACAAAGAGGAAATGGTCTACTTGCCTAATGTATATATTAAGAAATAAGAAATTCCCTGCTGTCAATTTATTTAGCATTTTATTAATTCAAATTTGACCTACTTATCATCTTGTGTTGTAAAGGATTACACTCATCAGTATATCCTTTCATTGTGGGTGCCTGGAGAGAACCGTCTGTGATCTGTTTGTCTTGGTGTTCTTGCTCCCAATCTTAGTATCTGAAAAATAATAAGCATTCAATAAATATTTAGGAAATGAGTGATTGAAAACCAGGGTCATGTAACAAGCCAATGTTCTAGTTGATATAAAAGCCTTATTTTTTATTTCCCATCTACTGACACATTCTGTGACTCATTTATTTACTCAATAAGTATTTTATTAGACATGTATTGTGTGGTCAGTACTTCTCTGGACATTGGTGGTATATTAATAAGTGAAATTGACAAAAAATTCCTACCTTTATGAAC